TCATAAACTCATAATATAACTGTCATCGAAACCTTAAGCGTGCGGACCCTACGGGTTCGAGAACTATGTAGACATGACCTAAAACTGTTTCCGGTCAATAACCAATAGCGGAACCTGGATGCTCATATTGGCTCCTACATATTCTACGAAGATCTTTATCGGTCAAACCGCATAACAACATACGTTGTTCCCTTTGTCATCGGTATGTTACTTGCTCGAGATTCGATCGTCAGTATCCAATACCTAGTTCAATCTCGTTACCGGCAAGTCTCTTTACTCGTTACGTAATGCATCATTCCGTAACTAACTCATTAGCTACATTGCTTGCAAGGCTTATAGTGATGTGCATTACCGAGAGGGCCCAGAGATACCTCTCCGACAATCGGAGTGACAAATCCTAATCTCGAAATACGCCAACCCAACAAGTACCTTCGGAGACACCTGTAGAGCACCTTTATAATCACCCAGTTACGTTGTGACGTTTGGTAGCACACAAAGTGTTCCTCCGGTAAACGGGAGTTGCATAATCTCATAGTCATAGGAACATGTATAAGTCATGAAGAAAGCAAAAGCAACATACTAAACGATCAAGTGCTAAGCTAACGGAATGGGTCAAGTCAATCAGATCATTCACCCAATGATGTGATCCCATTAATCAAATAACAACTCTTTGTCCATGGTTAGGAAACATAACCATCTTTGATTAATGAGCTAGTCAAGTAGAGGCATACTAGTGACACTCTGTTTGTCTATGTATTCACACATGTATTATGTTTCCGGTTAATACAATTCTAGCATGAATAATAAACAATTATCATGAAATAAGGAAATAAATAATAACTTTATTATTGCCTCTAGGGCATATTTCCTTCAAGTCATATCCATCAGAGCAAACTCTTCTCGCAGGGTTCAGTAAGTGGCAACAATGGTCACTTTTGTCAGTGCCATTGAAAGCAGCATAAGGAGAGGATAGAGGTATACCCCAGTCAAATTCGGGTAGGTTTTCAGTCCCCTACCATGGCCATCAAATCAAATGTTAGCATCAGGAAGCTCGCACTCATCAGGAAAGCCCAAGTTCATGGGCATCCAAAGCAAATCGGCGAGGGGAAGGGGGACACGCACCTTGCAGAAATCGACATCCATGTAGCGCACCTCTCAGGTGATTTTCGCCCAAGGCTCGCCGTCCTTCGTCATGTCGGCACCGGCGAGGTCACATCCATTGAGCGGGAGAGGGTGGCTTGAGGACGACGACGCCCCTGCTCCACGGCATCTCGCCTGCTGCTTCCCGCTCAATGATGTGCACCCCTTCATCTCGACAGGGCGGCGGAGACGGTTGCCGGCGGAGAGGGCGGCCAAGAGGGCGGCGGAGATGGCTGGCGGCGGAGAGGGCGGCGGAGACGGCTGGCTGCGGAGAGGGCGACGACAAGGGGGAGGAGCTAGGGATTTACGAATGGGGAATCGATGCAGAGAGGGCGATGTAGTCAGGGAATCGATGCAACACAAATACAGAGAGTGCGAGGGGGCTTTTTTGTAAAATTAAGGCGTGTGCCAAAATCCAGCGTGGCATGCCGAATGTTGCGTCCACAGCTGTTTTGTATGAATTTGTTACAGCAGTCAAGTTGGAGAACTAGTTTTGTGGGGATTTTTAGTTTTTGTATGAAACTGTTCCCACCCCTACAAGTTTATGTACCAATAGTGGTATTAACTCCATGCAAAACTAGTTGGAAAATAAACATTAGACAGAAAACAGCTGGGGAATCCAAGGCTGTCATAGGTTTCCAAATGCCAGATTCGCCATTGTATGGTTTTCTCTTTGCAATCCTTTCTCAGCACGACAATTAGTGAGAGTAAATTGCAAAAACCCACCACTTTGAAGGTTAGGTTTCCGAAAAATACTACAATACATTTTTTTCAAAAAAACACCATGTCTTCAGTAATGTTTTTGCAAAAAACACAGATCGACGGATATGGCTCGTTAAGTGCGTTTATGACAGGTGGGGTCCGTTTTCTGCCTACGTGGCATAACTGTTTAGGTCTAATGCCAAAAAGCCCCCTAAATTTTTGTCCCTGCTTCCCAGGCCCATCCCGACCACGGCGGAAACCACCCGTCCCACGGCCGCCCCCATCCCGATCCTGGCAGAGGCCCCCGTCGCCGTTCCTGCACCGATGGCGAGGCACATGACGCCGCCCGTGGTCCGTCCCTCCATCCCCCATCCGCGCCTCCGCCTCGCCGAGGAGCGACCTTCCACCATGCACTAGCGAGGGCGAGGCACATGTCGCCGGAACCATGCGCCGGTGATTTGACGGAGCCGGCGTCCCCCGCCCCTTCCTCCCCAGGCCGCCTCGTCATGCCCCCAACCGGATCCGGCCACATCGGCCTCCATTGTCCCCGCCCGGCACCGGATCAGGCAGCAGGGGCGGGCTGCTGTTCCTCGACGCTCCGGCGACCGCGACGATGGCCAGCAAGTAAGGGAGCGCGACGGGAGCGGCGTCCTCAAGCCACCACCAGAATGCCTCCATGGCCGGGAGGAGCTCGTGGGCCTTACTCGCGACCATGGCCACGACGAGCGGCCAAAAGCCGACGACGGCGTTCTGCACCCACGGCCGGCAACGACAAATCGAGAAGCGGGGGCTAATTGCGTTTTTCGTTTTTGATTTAGGGGTGTCTATGTAAAATTCTAGGGTCTAGTTTGTAATTTTAGATTAAAATCTACCTGGCACAAAAAGTCATGCCACATAGGCAAAAAACGGACCCCACCTGTCATAAACTCACTTAACTGAACCTGATCCGCCGATCAGTGTCTTTTACAAAAAGATTACCGTAGACGTGGTGTTTTCTGCCAAAAAAATGTATTATAGTGTTTTTGCAAACCTAACCTTCAAAGTGGTGGTTTCGTGCAATTTACTCACAATTAGTTTATTGGTTCACCCATTGACTTAGTTGTTTGTATCAAATTGTATTTTGTTCCTAGAGTGAACCTTTTTTTTTCTTCCCTTTACATATTTCTTCGGTTGTACGCACGTGCCATAAATGAGTTATTACCTAGCATATAGGAAACGTTTGGAGACCGTGCCCCGGCCGAATCTTCGGCCGGTCGCGTCCCACGCGCGAACGCTGCAACCAATTCAGACGAGACACGTAGGCTGCCTGGGGCCACCACTTCCCTCGTCCTGTTTTTCTTCTCCACTCATCTTGTTTTCTCCCTTATCCTCTCGCCCGAGTCCACCTCCTGCTGAGCTGCAGCTTTTTATCGCCGCAACCTCCTCGACCAGGCCCGGCAGCATCTCGCCGGAGAAGAGTTGCCGGTGGAGATGGCCGCCAAAGCCTCCCCCACCCCTCGACGAGCTATTTCTTCCTTCGCGCGGGCGCCTCCCCCATCCACGTTGTTCCCCTGTAAAAGACAGCGATGACGGAGGCACGGGCCCTGCGATGAGTTGCGACGGTGGCGCATGGCGACTGCGGGGACCTCGACGACGACGACGTTTTTCTGCTACGCCGGCGGACAAGTGATGTTGCAACCGTTGGCGCAAGTTGCTGGAACCAGACGTCAAAGGAGCTGCGACCGGCGGCGGAATTTGCTACAACCATTATGCGCCTGTGGTGCGACCACGATGACCGTGATAACGCTTTTTGTTGCAACCGCGTAGTGTTTTTGCTACTACCAGAGATGTAATTTGCTACTACCAGCGATGATTTTTGTTACATTCATTTGTGAAGACGATGCGACCCAGGCGACGGTGACATTTTTTTGCTGCAACCGAACAATTTTTTGCTACTACCGACTACACAATTTGCTACATCAAAATCCTAGTCATCGTGGTCACCCGTGTCGTCGCTCGTCGCACCACTGCACGCCGGTTTCACCACCTCACACCGGTTGCAGCAAATTTGCTCGCCGGTGGTAGCTTTCCCGCTGCCAGTTGCAACAAATTCGCAACCCGTCGTCGCCGGCCACACTTCGTCATCTTCCTGGTTGTAGCAAAAACAACCACCGTTTGTAGCTTTTCTCGTGCCGTTTGCAGCAAAAATTGTGGATAAAAGCTTAACCATGAAAAACACCTTCGAGCGGCATGGGAAAAGCTTCAACCGATGTGTGAAAAAGCTTCAACGGTGTGTGAAAAGCTTCAACCTTGAAAAAAAGCTTCAATGGCCATGGAAAAACAGCTTCAACCCGGCATGGCCGTTGATGGCATGACGGTGCTGCATCGCCACCGAGCTATGACCATCACTACGTGGAGCTGCGACCAGAGGAGGCAGCTGCTACATGTGTGGAGCCGGGGGCAAGGAGATGCAGATGGCAACCGGCGACGAGGACGGCCAGCGAGGGTCCCGACCGGCGACGAGGATGCCGCGGTGGAGCTTCAAGCTCCGTTTTTCTCGCGGAGGTATGGTGGAGGTGTCGGCGGAGCTCGAGGCCGTTGCAATTTTTATCCAGGAGGGGAGGGGAGTGGAGGGGAGGATGGGTGTGGGGAACGACTGTGAGGAGGACGAAGCGGGGTTCAGATCTGACGGCCTTAATTGCTATATCGGGCGGCTGGGGCTTGACCGGCCCAACGGTTGGGCCGATGCGCCGGCGCCCATCAGTCCCCCTAGCATATTTGGTTGAATCATACGTACGTATACCTGCTACAACAACAACAAAAGAACCATATACTATTAAAAAAACAAAAAAGTTCGAAAACAAAAGAACCATATACTATTAAAAAAACAAAAAAGTTCGAAAACAAAAGAACCATATGTGTTGGTAAGAGGTGAATGAAATCGGCAGTGGAACCTTGGATCATCACAGAGGTCGATCACAATCACAGGGTAAGTATAAGAATGGGTACTAATAAAGTATAAACATATGAGTACTGGAATAGTTAATTTGTTTAATAACCAAAAAAGTCAAGGAGAAAACAAAACCATGACCGTACTTACTCAAGGAAACTAATAATCAATCAAACAACTTTAACAAGAGCTAGTAGTATATACGCAATGAGGGTTTGTTTGTTTTTCATTATTTGGTCACTTTGTTGACGAGCACCTCGAGGACAGCCATGGCCTTCTCGGCATCGTTCTTCTTGGAGACATCGTCGGGTGTCTTCTTGTCATTCGCAGGGCGACACCTATCGCAATTCCACTGGGCATGCGCCCCGTTGTTCTCCTTGATGAAGCTGCGGATTTCGGGGAGCTGGGCCATGCCGATGTCGTCCGAGCCCTCTTTGCTGGTGCACAAATTGTCGAGTTTTTGGCCGCCATTGGTCAGCTCCTTGTAGCAGGTTTCAAAGCATTCCTCGTCGGCCTTGGTCAGGTCTGGGTAGCGCTGCTTCTGAACGCCCGGGCTCGCGTCCCCGGATGCTTGAAGAAGGAGGGTGGCGGTGGTGAGTGCCGCCATCCCCGCCAGCTTCTTGTCGTCGGCGCCTTTGCTCTCGTCGTAGCGCGCGATCATGTCGGCGCAGACCTCCGGGTAGGGCGTGTCGGCGCAAAACCTTTTGACGTTGGCGTCGGCGACCGCCGGTTTGGGGGGCGGTAGTAACCCCAGATTACCGAGCGATTTGGGGGCGACCTCCACCGCCATCCCCACATCACTGAGGAGGAGGAGGAGGACGGCGAAGGAGGAGATGATGGTGAATAGCCTCGCCATGGCAAGCTGGATCAACTGTTAGCTTCTTAGTTAGTGTCCCATGCGGCAGTCCATATATATAAGCACATGCATGCGGTGCTATATATAGATAGATATACATGCCGACCGCAGGGTACGTCACACTGAACTGACGGATAGCCGGAGGTGGAGGAGTCGTGTCTTTGAGGATAGCCAGAGATCATAAAATAGGGGTATGAGAGGCGGTGGCCATGGTTAATCTGTGGAGGTGAGGCCACCGAGCCACAGATGCATGCATGTTGCGAATGGTACGACACGTGGTAACCAACGGATGGTCGGGCTCTTTCAAGAGGCAGGAGGAACTTTTAATCTTAGCCTCAAGTGATCAAGCGTACTAGAGGCTAACGCGTGCTTCGCCGCGCTATTTTTCACTCGTGGTATTAACTATTTTTCTTTAACATGTTATTGCAGTTGGTTATTCCATTTTGGTTTTATCTATGTTGTCTTAGGTTTTAGTTATGTTCTTGTGGTGTTTCTTTCCATCGTATATCGTGTCGTCATTGCAGGTTTCGACATTGGTTTCAGCTAGTGGTGGTTGTGTGTTTCCCTTGGGAGCTCTTATTTCACGTTGAAACCATGAAATTGCTGCTATAACATTTGCATGGGCCGTTCAATATAAGTCTCGCTCATTTAACTTGGCTCCATGCTCCACTCACTTAACTTTTTTTTCCCGCTCGCTCCACTATTAACTTAGAGAATATCGGCTATCATATTGTTTTATTTGAAAATGTTTATTAAATAAAAAGCTGTTCAATTTTTTAATGTTGGATTTAAAAAATGTTGCAAATTTAAAAACCATTATTTTTATAAATGTTCATGATTTCAAACAATATTCATGAATTTGAAAGTTGGCACATTTCAAACAATATTCGCGAATTTGGAAGTTGCACATCGAAATGGACAGCAAGGAGATTGATAGTAAACTGCAGAGCAAGGAGACCTCTCGGTGCTAGGGCCTACGATCGAGAAGTAAAATAGTTGCTGGATTCGCGTGAAGAGTGGAAGGTAAGCTGGGCTTGACGTTCGGTTAATGATGCAGCTCATACGTTAGCGAAAGTAGGGGTTACTAATAATCTATATAAGTTGTGGATGCATGTGCCTCCTAAATGTATCCTACAAACTGTTTCGGCAGAGTTTCCTTGAAGGAAATATGCCCTAGAGGCAATAATAAAGTTATTATTTATTTCCTTATATCATGATAAATGTTTATTATTCATGCTAGAATTATATTAACTGGAAACATAATACATGTGTGAATACATAGACAAACAGAGTGTCACTAGTATGCCTCTACTTGACTAGCTCGTGAATCAAAGATGGTTAAGTTTCCTAACCATAGACATGAGTTGTCATTTGATTAACGGGATCACATCATTAGAAGAATGATGTGATTGACTTGACCCATTCCGTTAGCTTAGCACTTGATCGTTTAGTATGTTGCTATTGCTTTCTTCATGACTTCTACATGTTCCTACAACTATGAGATTATGCAACTCCCGTTTACCGGAGGAACACTTTGTGTGCTATCAAACGTCACAACGTAACTGGGCGATTAGGAGACAGGTTCATCTGCATGCTCCAGTTTGATCAAGGAGGAGAGCTATACATGTTTTATGTTATTTTACCTAAGAGAGAGCAGCAGGAGTGATTAGCTAGCTAGAAATGAGTTTGAGGATGATGATGTGCTACACTATTACTATGATGATAAAATAGCTAGTGTTGGTGGTAATGACTATGATGGTTATTATTAGCTATTGTTAGTGGTGATTAAATAAATACTGTTGGTGGTAATGACTATGATGATGATTAAATAGCTTGTGCTGGCGGATTAGATTCAAGTGGAGGCAACATGTGTTGCACATCGAAAGTACTACTAGTCCAAACTAGATCAAGTTTGGATTAGTAGTATACTTTTGACATGCACCACATATTGCCTCCACTTGAACCTAATCCACCTTCATTTGACACATGTTATGGACATAATAATGTAAACCTCATAACTGGTATTGTACCAATATTTGTACGATGGCGCATAAATACACTAAAAAAATTAAAAAAATACTAGTAGCGATGGACAGAAAACACGCTGCAAGTAGTTACCTTAGCAGTAGCGTGGTACCGAACAAATGCTGCAGTTATTTGTCCTAGCAGTAGCGCGTGCGGGCACGCGTTACTGCTAAGCAATAGCTGTAGCACCTTATTAGTAGCGCGGTCTCCCGCGCTACTAGTGGACACAAAACCCGCGCTACTGCTAGGGTTTTCCCTAGTAGTAGCCGTTTGGGTCATATCGGTGTAAAGCGCATGAAGAAACTTCATAAAGATGGATTTTCTGAATCACTTGGTTATGATTCATTTGATGCTTGTGAACCGTGCCTTTTGGGCAAGATGACTAAAACTCCGTTCTCCGGAACAATGGAACGAGTTACTAACTTGTTGGAAATAATACATACCGATGTATGTGGTCCAATGAGTGTTGATGCTCGTGGCAGGGTATCGTTATTTTCTGACCTTCACAGATGATTTGAGCAGATATATGTATATCTACTTAATGAAGCACAAGTCTGAAACATTTGAAAAGTTCAAAGAATTTCAGAGTGAAGTGGAGAATCATCGTAACAAGAAAATAAAAATTTCTACAATCTGATCGTAGAGAAGAATATTTGAGTTACGAGTTTGGCCTTCATTTTAAACAATGTGGAATAGTTTCACAACTCATGCCACATGGAACACCACAGCGTAATGGTGTGTTCGAACGTCGTAACCGCACTTTATTGGATATGGTACGATCTACGATGTATCTTACCGATTTACCACTATCGTTTTGAGGTTATGCGTTAGAGATAGCTGCATTTACTTTAAATAGGGCACCATCTAAATCCATTGAGACGACGCCGTATGAATTATGGTTTAGCAGTAAACCTAAGCTGTTGTTTCTTAAAGTTTGGAGTTGCGATGCTTATGTGAAAAAAGTTTCAACCTGATAAGCTCGAACCCAAATCGGAGGAGTGCGTCTTCATAGAATACCCAAAGGAAGATGTTGGGTACACCTTCTATCACAGATCCGAAGGCAAAACATTCGTTGCTAAGAATGGATCCTTTCTAGAGAAGGAGTTTCTCTCGAAAGAACTGAGTGGAAGGAAAGTAGAGCTTGATAAGGTAATTTGTACCTTCTCCCGAATTGGAAAGTAGTTCATCACAGAAATCAGTTCCAGTGATTCCTATACCAATTAGTGAGGAAGCTAATGATGATGATCATGAAACTTTAGATTAAGTTACTACAAAACCTCGTAGGTCTTCCAAAGTACAGTCCGCACCAGAGTGGTACGGTAATCCTGTTTTGGAAGTCATGTTACAAGACCATGATGAACCTATGAACTATGAGGAAGCGATGATGAGCCCAGATTCCGCGAAATGGCTTGAGGCCATGAAATCTGAGATGGGATCCATGTATGAGAACAAAGTGTGGACTTTGGTGGAGTTGCCCAATGATCGGCAAGCCATATTGTATAAATGGATCTTCAAGAGGAAGACAGATGCTGATAGTAGTGTTACTATCTACAAAGCTCGACTTGTCGCAAAAAGGTTTTCGACAAGTTCAAAGTGTTGACTACAATGAGATTTTCTCAACTGTAGCGATGCTTAAGTCTGTCTGAATCATGTTAGCAACTGCCACATTTTATGAAATCTGGCAAATGGATGTCAAAACTGCATTTCTTAATGGTTTTCTTAAAGAAAAGTTGTATATGATGCAACCAGAAGGTTTTTTCAATCCTAAAGGTGGTAACAAAATGTGCAAGCTCCAGCGATCCATCTATGGACTGGTGCAAGCATCTCAGAGTTGGAATATATGCTTTGATAAGTTGATCAAAGCATATAGTTTTATACAGATTTGTGGTAAAGCCTGTATTTACAATAAAGTGAGTGGGAGAACTACTGCCTTTCTGATAAATATATGTGAGTAACATATTGTTGATCAGAAATGATGTAGAATTTTTTTGGAAAGCATAAATGAGTATTTAAAAGGAGTTCTTTAAAAGAAAGACCTCAGTAAAGCTACTTACATATTGAGCATTAAGATCTATTGAGATAGATCAAGACGCTTGATAAGTTTTTCAATAAGTACATACCTTGTCAAGATTTTGAAATAGTTCAAAATGGAACAGTCAAAGAAAGAGTTATTGTCTGTGTTGCAAAGGTGTGAAATTGAGTAAGACTCAAATCCCGACCACGGTAGAAAATAGAAAAGAGAATGATAGTCATTCCATATGCCTCAGTCATTCCATATGCCTCAGTCATAGGTTCTATAAAGTATGCTATGCTATGTACCAGACCTATTGTATACCTTGCTCTGAATTTGGCAAGGGAGTACAATATTGATCTAGGAGTAGATCACTGGACATTGGTCAAGAATATCCTTAGTGAGGACTAAGGAAAAATTTCTCGATTATGGAGGTGATAAAAGAGCCTGTCGTAAAGAGTTACATCGGTGCAAGCTTTCACACCGATCCAGATGACTCTAAGTCTCAATCTGGATAAATATTGAAAGTGGAAGCAATTAGCTAGAGTAGCTCCGTGCAGAGCATTGTAGACATGGAATATTTGCAAAATACATACGGCTCTGAATGTGACAGACCCGTTTGAAGGAAATATGCCCTAGAGGCAATAATAAAGTTATTATTTATTTCCTTATAATCATGATAAATGTTTATTATTCATGCTAGAATTATATTAACTGGAAACATAATACATGTGTGAATTAATAGACAAACAAGGTGTCACTAGTATGCCTCTACTTGACTAGCTCGTTAATCAAAGATGGTTATGTTTCCTAACCATGAACAATGAGTTGTTATTTGATTAACGAGGTCACATCATTAGTTAAATGATCTGATTGACATGACCCATTCCATTAGCTTAGCACCCGATCGTTTTAGTATGTTGCTATTGCTTTCTTCATGACTTCTACATGTTCCTATAACTAT